GATGATCAGTTGAGAGACGCTAATTCGCAAAATGTTGTGATTTTAGGTGATTTTTAACTATTTGACCGTGCTTTTTTGGGGACGACTGAGAGGGGGACCCGAGTAAGATTTTTAGAAAGTTCCTTTAGACTGACCTTTTTTGTTTGATGAAATTTGCAAGTATTCTTTTGATTTAACCATCATTATCCCTTTGAAAGATATGTATTCTCTTTATTTTTATAATTTTTTTTTATTTCAACAAAGGCTTAAAATCATAAAAATTGTCTGTTATTGTTTTTGAAGTATACTTTTTCTACTCCACACTTTATTTCATATTGATATTCATCAGTCTTCAAAAACAATTTTAATTATTTTTATATCTATTGATGATGATAGACAAATATATCACTCAGTATTGGGTTTACGGGCAAAATTAATTTATTGGAAATTATATACGATATATATTTTTGTATTATTTTCTGTCAACAATATGTGAAACAGAACATTTTAGATAGAAAATACAATTATTGCAAAGTAGGCCTAAGAAATACATCAAAGGGCGGGCGAGCAAGCACCAGAGTGCCCTCCTCTCCCCCCACCCCCCCCCCCATTTTAAATATTTTTAAAAAAGAAGAAAAGAGGAAAATTGTAATCAAATTTAGGTCTAAGAGTGATTCTTAAGAAATCCTAACTCTTTCAATAATAAAAAAATAACAATAACACGTCAGTCTATTATAGCCTACCATGTCTCTGCAGTGGCAGATCCAGGGGGTGGCAAAAGGGTCGCTCCAAACAGCAGGCAGAACAAATAAACCAAGTGCGAAAAAGGCATATTTTTTTCTTTATCAGCAATCCCTTGGAGAAATTCTTGAATTGTGTTGTGTGTCTCATAAGTCTCCCTCCTTAGGCTATGTTCTAACGGTTAACCGTTAGCTGCTGTGCGTCCATACGAGAAGATCCCGATCCGGATACCAAGAATATTATGATCGAATCACTGGCCAATAAGAAACTGGAATTGTAAACGCGTACGTGTGATTGGTTGATAGAAACGCGCTCAACTTGCTAACCGATAGCGCTTGCTAACCGTTAGCAGTATCCGGATACCGCTAACGGTTAGCACTAATCAATCCGTCATTCTCTCAGGTGCTAACGGTTAGCGCTAATGGTTAACCCCCGATCTGGATACTAGGTCTCTCATGAGAACCAGGCTTTTGTCAGCTTTTGTTTGTAATGGTGGTCCATACTTCTGTTGATTTAATTTTTACTGTTTGTTAAATTATGCTAAATAGCATGAACAAACACTTTATGCACTGACTAAGGTACTGTAGACCACGGAACCTGCCCACTCACATATCTGCTACTGCTCTGTGTACTACACATTAGCCTAAAAAAGTCTTTGACTATAGCCACTGAGACAGAGAACTATTAATTGCACAAGCAATTAAGGTCATTCAAAAGGTTTTTGCAGCATACTTGTTGAAGTTCATGAGATTAATAAATCCAAAAGTTAATTTTGTACTTCCTGATTAATTTTGTGTCTTTAGCAAATGCAAACATTCACAAAAGAAGAATATCACACATGATACCACACTGCTAAATGATACTATAAATTAAAGCGAATATGTAACCTCATCAAGTACTTGAACTGTCAAAGTCCCTCCAATCAAAGATGCAAATTGACATATTTTGGGTAGCGGTACTTGAACTGTCAAAGTTTCTCCAATCAAAGATGTAAATTGACATATTTTGGGTTGCGTTTTTGTTTTGTCATGTGCAGCACTGTGATTTCAGAATACTGGCCTATTGATATTAGATCACCTATAAATACTGTATTACTGGTTTCAACAACTTTAAGGCCTTTCCATTGGTAAGAACACTTTAAACCAAAGTGTGACAACTGTGCTAAACATTTTTGTGGATACCTAACATATAGATTTGTTGAACACAACATTGACCTGATTTTCTGCAATCAATTTGATTGAGTGTTCTCCCTTAGTGGTCCTGTTGGCAGTGGCGTTGAGAGTTCTCAACCACGGTGTGAGTCCTTGATAACGGTTGGCTTTGCATGCTGTCAACCATGGTGTGAGTTCTTGGTAGCAGTTGGCTTTGTATGCTCTCAACCATGGTGTAAGTTCTTGGTAGCTGTTGGCTTTGCATGCTGTCAACCATGGTGTGAGTTCTTGATAGAGGTTGGCTTTGCATGCTCTCAACCATGGTTTGGGTTCTTGATAGCGGTTGGCTTTGCACGCTCTCAACCATAGTGTGAGTTCTAGATAGCGGTTGGCATTGCCTGCTTTCAACCATGGTGTGAGTTCTTGATAGCGGTTGGCTTTGCCGGCTCTCAACCACGGTGTGAGTTCTTAATAGAGGTTGGTTCTGCATGCTCTCAACCATTGTGAGTGTTCCTTTTGGTGGTTGGCAGTGTATCTTTTCAACCAAAGTGAATTTTCCTACTGGTGGTTTGCATTGAGTGTTCTTAACCATATTCAGTGCTTCCACTGATGGATGACACCTGGCATGTAGTTCAGGAACTTCTACTACAACAGGGTTATTTTGTCCATGTTTTTTAATGACCTCAGTTTTGAAGTGAAGAGTCATTGGTGAAGGCTGTCAAAAAAGAGAAATGGAAAAGTATTGGAATGCAGTACATTTCACCATACTACATGCAAAATAAGTGATAGGATTTATACCAGAAGTAATTAAACAATTGAACAAGAAAAGAATCGGTCTATTTGTTGTAGCTTTCTATTCCATGAAAAAACCCCTTTTAACTTATACAGTAAGTATAAAATTGACTGAAGCATGAAGCATGAAATTTTGCAACAATTTTCAAAAGTACATGAATAACATACAAACTGTGTCACAATAATTTGTTATACTTTTCATTTAAGAATATTAAAATAAGTATTGACATTTCTTTAAGAAACATCAATGCATAGGCATTTGATAGACATTTAACTTAAAAAAAAAAATTTGAGTTTTTTGAAATTTATATAGTGATGTGCCTCAAAGCTAACAAGAAAAAAACATCTTAAGAATAAAATAGAAATCTACTTTTGGAATTAAATATAAGCTGAAAGTGAAGATAAATTGCGATATAAATATATAGAAACGGTATTTAAAAAATGACACTTGTAAGCAGACAGGTGGTGATTCTACTGTTAGCAGTCAATATATTTATGGTGCAATATAAATGTTTTTATATTTAAATTCCTTTATTATTAATATTTATCAATATGAACAACCAGTGACTCAAATTGTTATGGTACCTTCATTTGCAAGTTACTGTACAGGAAACATACCTTTTGAAACCAGTGTGTTAACCAAACATGTTTCATTGTTGTTTCTGGTGGACCTAATTGCTGCCCCTTACATAGTATATTTATCTGCACACCAACAGAAAAGTAATAATACAAAATCATTAAGTTAATGAAGTAATACAAGGATTTCTTTGGGGGTTCTTTTTCAAATAAATATTTGAAACAATGAGGCATGTCATCCCAAAACCAATGCACTATCGCAATATACTTAACTAAGTAATTTGAATTTGAATTTTGAAAATTCCATAAGTATGTTGAATTTGTAATAGGTTTTACCACATGACTTAGGAAATAGTGATAATGAGGAGAAAATAGATATATTAAAAAGTTTTTTGCTTTTTTGGCTGATGATGCTGTTTTGGGATGGCAAGCATCACATGTGAAAGCCCCATTAAGGCTTTAGGAACCTCTGATAGATGAACACACTTAGAGGCTAAGTACAACAAAGTCTTATGACACAATATGTAGAAAGAAAGAGAAAAAATATTTTTCTAATTAACTGAAAGGGTGTTTGAAGAAATAATTAAAAAGCTTAATAAGATAAAGAATTTTTAATATTAAAAACTTGTGGAAAAAGGGAAGTTTATGCATTTTTTCACCACCACTCACGGGTCCTTAAGCTTTGTATTAAATTAAAGAAAATATAAAAAATGAAAAGCCTATAAAATATTTAAAAATTTGAAAACATTATTTTACACACAGAGTTGGAAACATCATGAAAAGCAATTACTGTATGTAATATTTTATATTAAAAGTTTCTATAATGTTTATTACGACCAATATGTAGTTATTATGGAAACTGTACCTCAATCAAAATGTGAACGATAATAAAGAGTATATGTAGATGTATCTGTACCTGAGTTGCGCTTGCTAGGTTAAGCATCTTTCTCAACATTTTTTGCAGATGATAAATACACGTCCTCACTGAACATCGCACATATTTTTTACGAAAGGATGAAATCTTGCTGCCATGTTCACTGTAAAATATATATAATATAAACAAAAATTTAAAATATTATATTCCAAGAAGTCACAATGTGAGATTTGTGACCAAGAAAGAGACTAAATGCCTATAATTTTTGAAATATTGAACAAAATTAAATATTAATTATTTTTTGTGGGTTTCTTTATTCTACTTTTATTACTTTCAGTAGTATTGTTTCTCTTGTTAAGTATTGAACCTGCTTTTTGTTATATTTCATCTATTATATATATTTATTCTATGTATTATAAAACTGTTGGCAATTTCTATATTTTTAATACGGGGAAGAGCTGCCCTACCCCCAGTTAGGGAGAAAACCACATTTTGTTGGGGAGCAAAAAAAAATTATATGTAATTTCTACATAATGGTTGACTGTGAAGTCAATTAGGCCTATAGGCTTAATTTATTTCACAGTCAACTATTAAACAGTTCAAAGTTGAAACCCCTAAATTGCCAAAATTGTTCAAGGTACCCCCAGGACCAATTTCAGGAGAGTTTAAGCAACACCGACCATGCCCACTTTGCTCTTGTCGGGGAGTGCAAACCTCTTTAATATCATAGAGCCAACAGTGAAAATACATTCTGCTTTGGTGATGTTGAGATTTAATCAATAATATCAATCAATCAATCAACAAGGATTTATATATCACCAATATCTATGGCAGAATGCAATGATCTGTGGAACTAATGTATGACAATAACATTACAAATGCACATTAATTAATGAGTTTAATTAACAATGCTTGTAAGATTATAAAAAAAAAAAATAAACAATTTGCATGTGTGTCAAAAAAATTGAGAAGATAAGATTTTAACTTTTTAAAAGATACTGACAGAAGATGAGGTTTTGATCTCAACAGGAAGAGCATTCCATAAATGTAAATGCGGCCGTGCTCAAGAAGATGCTTATTAGACGATCTAAAGAAGGCGAAGAGTAGATTTATGTTGGGAGGAGATTAAAGATATATTTGGGAGCAAGACCATCTATTAAACATTCTTATGAAATCATCTCTTTACATTATTTCTAGAATAAACTGTATGCAAACACTTTATCACGTTGATGATACCTGATATGCTCCAGGCACAATGACAACAGATGATCCTGAGTAGGATGATGTATTTGTTCATGCGCCAGTAGCTTCTTCACTTCAACTTCTTTTATCCTCTGAATCTTGCCAATCCCTCTTGATCTATAGAACTCCCTCTTTCTTAAAGTCTCATCTAATCATACAAGACCAATGTTACAATCAACGAACATGAAAATACACAAAAGCATAAAATGCAAATGAAAAGAATATTAACCTCCATTATCTAGCACAGTAGTGACAAAGCATCCCAGTTCTTTTGAGTGTTAAATTTTATTTTGAGTGGTTTTCCTCTAGTCTTTTTTTATCAATGCAGCGTTGTTGTCTCAGCAGTGCATGGTAGTGGGAAACAGGCTTGTTCCGTGATGGATAAGGCCAGTCCCTGCATAATGTCTTTTGTAGATTTCCTGAATATAAAATCCACACTGAGATTGTGACTTTACCTCTAGGTTGCCAGGTGAGACATTTGGAATGTCACCTTCTCTGGTAATGCTGCCCATTTCTACATCTTATAGTTCGGCTACTGGTATTAATGTAGTTTCTCTGGTATAATTTCACCTCCACAAAATTGGGCACATTTTTGGGAATGGGCTAAGCTTATACCCGGGAAATTCTCTTTTTATTCGAATGGCAATTTTTTGGAACTGTAAGCCTATTATTCAAAGCCAATATGTAATATTTTTTTTAAGAATATTTGTAAAAGTCATACTCTGGAATTTTGCCAGATGAATTGCTGGTACATAGAATTGGGCATAAAGAGGGGGTGGGCTTATACCCAAGGAACAATGGCATACAGTAATATTTTTGTTTTCATTATTTTTTTCCCCCATTTTTTGTTTTTGTTAAGCGCCTTCAAGTTGTTTACATTAATAGGTCTATATATATATTGATTAATATGATATATCACATGCATAGATTCCAGGCACCTAATTGCTTGGAATAAAAACAACAGGGGCAATGACTTCAACTATCACTCCTATGATGTAGTTTGAATTCATAAATTTCCGGGGAAAATAGTACTATCACATAATCTCTCTGGATCCCACAAAATGTCGCTGTGTAATTAATGTAAAAGGAGACTGCAGTGCGACCTGTACGACGACAGAGATTGGCCCTTTGACCGCCTTGGCCTAGGTGGGTACTCTTTTCATTACTTTTTTTTAGGCCTTGTAGAATCTATGTATGAGGTATATAAAACAAATATTGACTGTTTTGTAGATTCAGGGAACGGTGAAATCTATAGAACTCGGTAATGTGGAGACCGTAGCCTACTCTCTTCCCTCGAGAAGATAGTAGTCCACATCACATCTTCGCAATAGATACAGTATCACCATTCACCTCATGAGCAGTCATTATTTGTATACCATTCAATAAAATAACATCATTCACCAATCAAAATCCTAACTCCTCTGGTTTCACATTTTTTCATGCAGCTGCAACACAATGGCATATACCATTGGCCCATTAAGGTGTAGAATGTTTTGGATATGGTTGCTCCACAAGGATAGGTATACCACCATGTGTGATCCAAAACTTTATGTATGAGACTTACCTTTCCAAAGGTGTGGGACCAAAGTAAACACAATGTCCTGCATAGTACGGTCAGGTCGAAGGTTAACCAGAGGTTGTGTCTCATGGATTTTAATATTACACATTGGACAATGTTTTGATGTCTGCAAATACTTCACAATACAACTCTTACAGACTAAAAATAATAATTTAAAAAAAATTTCAGTAAAACTGATGTGTGATTGCAAATATTTTGTACATAGTCACACATTATAATACATATACATAAAAAAAAGTCAATGATATTTCTATGTCTGCTCTGAACTACGATATGTCTAATGTTGACTGGACTAACATTTATAACATCAATGATCCCAATGAAGCATATAAATTATATATATATTCATATACTGTACATTATATTGTTGTAACCAAAGAAAAAATCCCAGGTTGACTAATAACTTTAATATTAAAATTGATAATTTACTGATAAAAGAAACTGATCCTACAAACTTCCTTGGCGTCATAATTGACTCTTAACTAAATTGGAAACAACACATAACAAAAATATCCAATCAGGTATCAAAAAATGTAGGCGTAATACAGAAACTCCAGCATAGTTTACCACCTAACATTTTATTTTCTTTATACAACACAATGGTTCTTCCTTATCTATCGTACTGTAATTTGGTATGGGGTACGGTAACAAACACACACCAACAATTATGTCCATGGGTTAGCACAGAAACAACAAAATTAGATCAACTCTTTAAATTACGAAAAAAAAACACTTAAAATTTGCTCCAAGTCTAATTCTTTATCACATACTAAACAACTTCTTTTTACATTTAAAACTTTAAATATTTTTTACATTAATAGGCTTCAAACTGCAATATTTATGTATAGATACAGTAAAAAACTACCTCCCAGAATCATTTAACAATTACTTTAAAAAAAATATTGTGGATTACATAATTACCATACACGTACCTCTGATTACATTTTGTTCAAATGCCAGACAAATTTTAGCCGTAATTTTGTTAATTTTAATGGACCAAAAGTGTGGAATTCTCTAGATCAAAATCTTAAAACTGCACCATCTGTTTTAAATTTTAAATCAAGCTACAAAAAACATCTAATATCAATATCTTAATAATTATATAAATAAAAAGAACATTAAGTGAATACAGTAATTTGAAATGTGTAGCAACTACTGTGTTTTTTTGTTTCCTTTGTTTAACTGTCTTTGTATTTTTTCACTTTTTCACTATATTCATAACGGCACTACGATCACTGATCCTCAACAAATTGCATCCAGATTCAATGATTATCTTATCAATACAGGCTCAAATTTCAATAAAATAAATGCGTTTAAATTTAAGTTAAGTGAATACAGTAATTTGCAATGTGTAGCAACTACTGTTTATTTTTTTTTTGTTTCCTTATTTTAAAATAATAGTGTATAATTGTTTAACTGTCTTTGTATTTTTCCACTTTACTACTGTATATTCATAACGGCACTACGATCACTGATCCTCAACAAATTGCATCCAGATTCAATGATTATCTTATCAATATAGGCTCAAATTTCAATAAAATAAATGCATCTGATAATGTTAATTATACTTCTACCCTTCCTTCTTCAAGTGTACATTCTCTTTTTCTCAGTCCAGTATCCAAAGACGAAGTTGCCAGGGGTAGTGCCAGGATTTGCCAAACAGGGGTCCGAAGTCCCCGATGAAGGGGCCGATGTCCCCAACGTGGAGGAAGATCTCCCCGACGAGAGCAAAGTGGGCGTGTTCGAGCCTCTCTAAAAATGTTTGGAAAGTTCTGGGGGATGTAAATTTTGACAATTAAGGGGTTTCAAAGGCTAATCAATTTTAGAGTCCACTAAGATATGAGTATGGCGACTCCGAAAAATGACAGGCAAGAGGCCATAGTTGATTCTACGTTTCGTTCTTTATTGGAACATTGTCAAGAATGAATATTCCAAGTCCAAAAGGGTGACAAACTTAACAGAAATCAATACCAGATAAATTTTGACAATTAGAAAAAGTGGGCAGATCATGTTGGAGACGAGATGATATTCTGATAAACAAATGATTAATGTGGAACAAAGCTAGGTGACTGCTATGTCACCTACTAGAGGTAATGTTTTGATTGGTTAAACACTTTTGGTACTAGTGCATATAAGCTTGCTAATATGGATAATTTTTTCATTCCTGATGATGACATAATTAATGTCGAAATATTGAATCCCAACACGATGGCGTGTATTTCAATACTTGGAGTATGTATTATACTTTCTGAACAAAGGCAAGTTAACACTTTAAACTTAGGTGAATGCAAGTTCTTTAGAGGCTCTGAGACCATAGTTTAGACTAGGCTTGTATCTTGATCTTATTGCTAAGACTTCAGCAAATAAAATTTCTGACCAATGTTCAGAACCATGAATAATATTAATATTATCAAATAATAAGGATTCTATAAGAGATTGTTTGAAAGTATCGTCAGCAGACATAAGATGTACAGTAGACCAATTATATGGTTAAAACCTTTGCAACTCTCAATGTGTTCATGTACACTACTGTTTGCAGTACGAGAATGCTCAACAGCTATTAGATTCCACTAATGTACAAAATGCATATACTTTTTTTTTTCTCCCCGACGAATTGTGGTTTGTGGTTTTTGTCTCTGACGGGGAGCAGCTGACGGGTGTCCCTGCACCCTCCCCAGTGGCGCCACCCCTGGAAGTTGCTAGCATAATAAAGTTTTTACCTTTATTTCCAATTAGAGACCAAAGCTGCTAAAGACCACGAAAACCCTGGTTCCAAAAGTGGAGGGACACAAGCCAAGATGTTCTCGACAACATATTTGGTAACCAATTCAGTCTATTAAAATACCTACCAAATGATAGGAGAATGGATTATGGAAGATTGATACAAAAATAGTAATGGACCTGAAGGAAGCAGACAGAACTGCCAACCCCTGGGTCATGAAAATCTGTAGATTTTTTTACAAATCTTAAAAAAAATCTGGAGGTTTCCAAAATTAACCAAAAGATAATGCAAGATAACGGTACTAAAAAAGACATGTCAAGACAATTCATTGGCCATTGGTGGCGACATTCAAATAAAAAATGGCTGCTTGTTTGATAAAAGGTAAAAACAATTCCAAATTTGCAATTCAAGTAAAAAGCTAAATTAGGTATTCTTACTGTACAATTTATTATTAATTAGATAGATGCGATCCAGGTGTTCTCTCCATGGGTTACAAAAATTATCTTTCAACATAATTGTTGCAAATTGCAATAGAATGTGGGACAAATGATTTGTTATAGCATTTAGTACCTGTAGGTAAAGAGCGGATAAGGATATGGGATGGGAGAAATTTGTACTTCGTTGTAGAGTGGATGATCAGTTTAAGAAAGTATGTATTTTACCATGGAGAGAACACCTGCATCATATTTAAAATTAAGCTTAGAAAAATCAACTCCTATTGCACGCCCCGCCCTTCTGGTGACCTTTGCCAAAAATCCCTTTATTTTCTCATATAAGCTAGCCTCCCATATAATCCGACAGAATGAAATCACACTGAGTATCATTGATTGGTAGAACATTTCTAGAATTTTTTTATCAATATAAACTTTCCTAAGTTGCCGTAACATAAGAAATCGTTGCTGACCTTTTTTGTACAGTTTCAGTGTATTACTGGGGCCATAGTTAAATTAAATTTCTTCCAAGCAATAAAGTTTCAACTTAGAATATTTTGCATGATTAAATAAATTTAAAACACTTAACTAAAAATTATGCTATTAAAACTACTGTACTCCGTAAAACAATCAATCTTAATAATAATGTACTAAATTACATATTACGGTATTGTGTTCTTCTAAGTAGAAGAAAAACAAACAATACATTTTTTTATAACCCTTATTTGGGCATTGAATATCTTACGACCGAACAAGTGCACGGCCGAACCGGACGTCATAGCTCTCTCCTAGGCCTAGAGAAGCTCTAAGTAACGGTTTGAAAGGTTAGTTAATAATAATATTCAATATTAGTCAAGTGGGCGACTTGGTTAGGGGGCGACTTTGCTAGGGGGAGACTTGACGGGGGCGACTTGGTTAGGGGCGACTAGACAAGGGGGCGACTTTGTAGGGGTGACTTTGTAAGGGGCGACTTTACAAGGGGGCGACTTGACTGGTATTCCAATTTTTTATAGCAACTTTAACATCAAAATCTAGCCAAGGCTTATCATTCGGGTATACAGTATTCTAATCTGTTTTAGTGGGATAGTGAGATCCACACAAAAGGCAAAATATGATGATACAGTGTTAGTCAGTTCATGAATATCACTACTGGTGTTGTTAAATACGTCCCATTCGGTAGCCTCTTAAACAACCCCAGAGTTTTTCAATATGTTCAGGGTACTGAACCACAGTTTAATTGTCTTTGTTTCCATCTTGCTTGTTTTTAATTTCTTAGTTTCTTATACGTACAGTAGGTAATAACTGTATAACTTTCTTGTTTCTTGTTGAGCATGACACATACTCTCTACAATTTGGAAGCACACGCTTAAGTTGACACTGGTTTAGATCACCTACAACTAAAATAGGACTCTCAGGAAAACGGGCTTAAAGTAGGTATGTATGATCAGCAATTGCGTCTGCAGCAACCGGAATATTTCCAGGCATATAAACAATGATAACTTTAATACATCCAAATTCTCTTGGCAGATAAAACGGCCTAAGTGACAATGACAGCAATTCATAGTCAGTTGTACAAACTTTACTGACGACTGTTATATCTGCACATTAGCTCTCATTCATGTAACAACACTGAACTGGAGATTTGTTTAAATGTCGGGTGACACTCGACAAGATTAGGTGAGTTGGCAGGTCTGAGCAGATGACCAATCTCAAGATCACACTGCATGCTACATTAAAGAGTCTATCAAAAAGGTGAGGAGTAAAAAAACAAATCCAGTATAGTACTGTACGTATATTATTGACTTACATGTGTGAAGACATTCTGTGATTGTGGTAGCATCTACAAAGTAACCAGCACACAGAATGCAGACAATATGCTGGTTCAGCTGGCAAACTTGTAACATAAGAGGTTTCTGCAAAATAACAACATATTGTCAGTTGAACGTACAAAAATATCATAGTTATAAATAACTATAATGTGTTTATGCAGCCGTTAGTTGTATGACGTACTATACAACCCCAGGGAAGGGTGCGTTGAACGCGCTTCGTACATATGCATGCCACGATGCACCCCTTCGTCAAAAATGTGACTGACCATTGTGTGAAACTGACACACAAAAAAATTATTTTGTGACAGACCATCTCTTGAAAGTTACTGACCTTGATTGTCATTTTTGACGTACAGTACCCTGATCGCATTGTCTTGAACAGTATTGCGCCATTTAAGCACATTTTAAGATGGACCGCATTATACAATTGTCTCTCTATCTCTGTGCCCCTATGTACGTAGGCCTAGCTGCGGTGTCTTACATCCATCTAGGCCTCATGATGCTTTTATTGTAGGACATGTATATCTATAGGTAATAGGCACTTCAAAAAAGAAAACGCTTTACTGTATTTATTTAATTATTGTGTTCAGACGGGGCTGTAGTTTGTGAAAAAGAAATCAAAATTTAGACTTCAAAAACGACCATCCTCAAGCCATCACGCTGCATTCTGTATCCAGCTGGATCTGAACCGTCCATGCACCAACGTACGCTTACTGGGGATAATAATAATAATATCTCAAATTTCTATGGCGCCAATTCCAAACAAGATCAAAGGTGCAACGCATGTGAAAAGCCACTGGAAAACAAATAGGTCTTAAGCTGTGACTTAATGTTGCAAATAGAGTTGGAAGAAGTTATGTAATTTGGGAGCTTGGTTCCAAAAAAAGGCAATAAGCTTAAGTAAATAACGTTGACCATAGGTTTTGGTATGGTATTTGGTGACAGAAATAAAGTTTCCATGTGCCATGTGCCCTTGATTTTATTATTATTATTTTTTTAGCCATCATTTGAAAATGATATCTGGCCATCTCATAGGTGCAATGTCTATTCAATGTTGTGTCTTCTCACCCTATTTACATACCATACTTTACCTAAGTTAAGATTTAAGTTAAGACTATCTCCTTCTAGATCATGCGTGCATCCAATAGTTGTCCCGCCGCAATTGCATTCATACAAACAAACGGTTACTAGTTACACCAATTTTTTTTTTTCTCCTAAATTTTGTATTCCTTCTTGGTAGAGTTCCATTAATTTTGTTTTAATACCCTGTCTTTCTTCTAGCTTTTCGTTTTCTTTACGTTTCTTTGATTTTTTTTTTTCCTTTCTTTTCTTTCTAATCTTTCTTTTATTTTCCTTTTATTTTCTTTCTTTTCCTTTCTTTTCTTTTTCATTCTTTTCGTTTCCTTTATATTCTTTCCTATATATTTGCAAACTGATTCCTACCAAATTATCTCTTGATTTTATTCTAATCACCTATTTTTTCACAACCAAATATCTCTAAATACATTATAAGTAAAATGAAGTTCCCTAGATGTGGTTATTTGAAATTGTATAGTAATTTCTTTTTTTACACCGGTCCTTTGAGGACGTTATTTGTTTACATCGCCATTTTGTAATGTGACGGACATAGACGCACCTGTTTTTCACAGTGTGCAAAATATCACGGTAAATGACCCAACCATGACGCACCTTTCCCGGGGTCGTATAGTGCATCATACAACTGACAGCTGCATTAATATCAATAAATAAATTTGGACTACATTTTACAACCTGTTTTTACATAAAATATCAGAGTTTCATTAACAGTATTATTTACCAATACCAGGCAATCAATATATAATCCTCACCTCATCTTCAAGCTCAACCATTGTTCCTGGTTTCAAACTTTGATTAGAAAACATTTCCTAAAAAAAATAATAATCAATAAATGTTGAACCATATAAAAATATTATACTGTACATGGATCTCACTGTTCAGTGTTACTTAATAAGATTGAGATGTGCATTTTTTTAAAGAACTGAGAGTTTATAAAAATATAAATAATAATAGAAACATAGGCCTACACTAGGCTTAGCCTAACAGTAAACCTTTTGTTTTACCACAAACTGCAAGTTCTTCGTCTGCATGTCTAGGCCTAAATGCACACATTCTAATAAACGGCGAGAAAATTATTATTTTTTTATTTGACTCAAAATAATTATAACTCTGAATAACTATAACTCTACGAAATGACTCAGGATAACCGACCTCGGGTCTAGGCAGCAGCGGTCCAACCGGCCTCCACCTTGGAGGCTTAGGCCTACTCTACGGCGGCCTCGGCCCAGGACTGTCTAGCATAGGCCCTAGGCCTACGCCTGGATATCGACTTTGTACTAGAGCCTACTACTAATTAATAGGCCTAGGCTGTGACCTAAAAAATTGCAGCGTAGGGTCAGCGATGGTGATTATTTGTAGAAAACGAAATACGTGTAAGCCTAAGGCTTAGGCCTAGTTAGGCTACACCTACATCAGCAGAACGCGCGCTGTGCCTGGATAGGAGCAAAGAACTTATTATTTATCTTTGGTTTGGTAGGGGGAGGGCCAGATGGATGCCAGTCAAATTCGAGCTGATGTCAGTTCGAGCCAAAGTAGACTTGCCACAAGTCTCTTATTTTTTATTATTTTTCTCATTCTGGACAGCGCCACCAACGAGAAAGTTAATTTAGAGATAGACGGAATAAGCGACTTGTAAAACACTGAATGCAGGCACCAGGATGCAAAAAGAATGACGTAATCTTATATTCCATATTTGGATAAATGGCGAACCGAAATAAACAATTTCAACTAATCAAATGTTCATATTTTTGGAGCCACGAAACTGAGTCACTCGCGTCGACTAGTTAGGCATGACTAAATTTAAATAGTCTCCCTAATAAAACGGGCCTAAAATATTTAGAATAGACCCTAGTAAAACTAATTTTGGCAATGGCAAAAACAATTAAGCTTAGACTAGATGGCATACCATACAAATACAACAAAACTTTCCAGAAGGATCGATCAGGCCTCGTCTGGAGTCAGGAGGCCTAGCCTAGACTAGTAGAGGCTTTGGCGTATTTTTAAGTTTTTAATTACAGAGGCCTACCTTTTTAACAATATTCTACCCTAAAGACCTAAATCTGTGTAGCAAGGTTCATATAGCCTACGGTTATCAGTCCATGTCGTTCTCAGCAGGCCAGTACTATACTAACTGTTTTAATTCAAGTATAGGTAGCCAAAAGGGAGCTGGTTCTTGTTCTAGTCGAGACATCCGCATCTTCAATTTTGAAAGTTTACCAAGACTGATTAATATGCATAAAGTTAGCCAGTCACGTGATTTACAAAATCAGTCATGCATACTCTAAATTGTTTTTGATAATCTCTTAGTCTTAATAGCAAATGACATTCTCAAGGTCAGAGATCACACTAAGGTGTAGCATACACACATGTATACATGTGAGATGAGAATAAGAATTCCTGTGATTTATAATCTTTATTGTAGACGTTAAACAGTGTAAGTTCATAATCCTCATTTTATACATTAAGAAAGCTATGAGTAACCAATGCTATCATATTTAGTGAAGAAGCAGTTGATTAATTTAGATTTAGAGTTTTAGTTACTGTTATGTTATTATGTGACCACCTTTTGAGTATGTAAATCATACTAATATGGGCCTGTCTCTTATACACATCTAGATGTGTATAAGAGACAGACAGTATTACTGGTAACAAGATATGATGAAGTACGGGAGCTGATGCTCAAACATAAAATCCGCATTAACGAGCAGCATATGGATGCGGTGGTGGCCGAACAAGAGCAGAACGAAAGAGAATCCACCCAAACTTCAGTGGCGAGAGCGAGAAGCGTTCGAGGCATACAACATGCTGATTTTCAACAACTTTGCAAGCAAATAGGCCAGTTGACCATTGAAAATTCTGGTGAGGCAGTCAGAGCTGCGAAATGTGATCTAGTAAAATTGATGGAGGAAGTAAAGGCTGCCCACATGAATTACGCTGCAATGCTACCCACTGAACAGGGGGACAATGAGAATACTTGGCTTCAGTCAGTGCGTGATCTGTACGGCGAGGCCAGTAATAAAGTTTGCATAATTTTGGAGCACCACACCAAGAGTACGGTCACAAAGTCTAAAGATGAGAAAAAAGGAAGTGGTATTCATCTGGAAAAAATGCGATTGACTTCACAAAGTTCATCTTGCCTGAGGCGACTAAGGATCAAGCAGCTTTTGTGTTGCGGAAATCGCTGGGAGTGAAACCGTTTCAAGTTATTACCGAGCTTTCGTTTGAGGACGGTGAGCGCACAGTACGGAGGAACCAACAGACCGTGACCGTACTCGCAACCAAGCTTCCGTCCTGTTTAGAAGTTGTTTCGTTTCCGTTTACGCGACGGGGGAATATGCGTGCGAACGCGCGCCCTCACTTTAGTTACCAAAACATGGCGAACTTACACAGAGTTCAAGAGGCACTTGTCGCTGCGTAGGCATTATTATAAGCTAGGCCTAGGCCGGACGTACCTTAATAAATTAGGGCCTAGGCTAGGCCTAGCTAGACCCAGGCCAGGCTAGAACCGAGCCGAGGCTGTCCATCTATCTAGGCCTACAGTACATCTACATTTACTAGGGCTATATATACGACTTGGCTAAATCATATTCATATTCTAAATTTATGTGTTGTATCACTGACTTTGAACATGAAACCATAATTTCAATAAAGTGTTATTATAAGTTAACTGACTCCATTGTAATCGCCTTTACACTCGCCGCGTGATGCAGACATACAAGACAACCTCTTATCGTTGCGTTCTAAACCGGACGATATTTTCAGTCAGAACCGTCCTCAAATTCCGCGGTACGGTGAGATGCAATCTTTCACGCATGCGCAAATGAATTTTCGGCTCTAATTACCGTACTAGATTTCTCCCGTACTAAAACGAAAGCTCGCTAGTGGCGCAGTGGATGACGATATTCAGGGAATATGGAGGAGACTGGACGAACGATATGGAGACCCAATTAAATTGGCAGATGCCATCATGCATGACTTCGAAAGTATCGATACATTGAAGGACGGAGAGGACCGAAGGTTTGTCGATCTGGTGGATAATGTTGAAAGAGGTTATAATGATCTTCAAAAGTTGGAAATGGAAAGGGAAATGTCCAACACCAGAGTCGTTGGCGATATCGAAAAGAAGCTACCACCTACAATTCGAAGGGAGTGGTCGAGATCATTGTATGATGAGAAAACTGTTGTAGACCGTTCCAATAGATTTCCTGCACTCCTTCGGTTTCTAGTGAGGGAAAAGAAAAGTGTTGAGTACGAAACATCAGGAGTGAGAACAGGTGCAAAAAGTAAACAGTCTCCACACCTTACCATCAATGCCGCAGAGGTAAAGCAGAGTGCTGACGTTTCGAGACAAGAGAGCAACAAAATTTGTCTTATTCACGACGGAGGCCAGCACAACACATCTGAATGTCGGATTTACCTGGCAAAGTCGCTGGCAGAAAAAACGCAGCTGGCAAGAGAAAAGGGCGCCTGTTTTGGTTGTCTATCAAAGGGTCATCGGGCAGCTGTCTCTTGCAGTTAATGAAAATAAGGGTAGGAGCTAAACACATGAACGTCCTCTTTGATGGCTGCGCCACATCGTCCCTTATCACCAACAGATCGGCAAGGGCTGCAGGATTAAAAGGAGATCCCATAAAAATTGCCATCACTAAACTTGGCGGAACGACGGAGGAAGTCGATAGCTTCCGTTATCTTGTACCTCTAGTAGATAAGCAGGGGTTTATTGTAAATGTATATGCATATGGAATCGAGCAGATCACGTCCAATATAGAACACATAGCAGTCCAGCATGTAGTGGGCTTGTTCAGCGGCATCAAAATCGAAGAGATAGAACGACCAACCGGCCATGTCGACTTGCTCATGGGGTACGAGTACGCCTGGTATCACCCGACAAGGCTACAAGCAGTAGAGCACCTACTCGTGCTGGAAAATAGATTTGGGAGATGCTTGGGCGGATCCCATCCAACCCTTTAAGAAAATACTACGAAGTTGATCAGTACTGCCGCATTGATACATCATGTGACAACATGTAATTTGGACTCTTTCTTCAAGATAGAAGGTATGGGTGTTCAGTGCAACCCACAGTGCGGCAGTTGTCGTTGTGGTAGATGCCCGGTGGGAGCCAAAGAGTATACATTGAAAGAGGAAAGAGAGTTGGCGCTGATAGAGAAAAACCTTACATTTTGTGGTTCATATTGGAAAGAGGAGTATCCCTGGATTAGAGACCCATTCGAGTTACCAGACAACCGAAACGCTGTACTGGCTGCCCTGAAGTCCCTAGAACACAGGTTGAGAAAGGACCCAGCGAAAGCTACGCATATGACGCTCAAATAAGAGATATGCTAGAGCGAAATGTTGCAAGGGAAATTGGAAAAAGGGAGCTGGATTGCTATGATGGGCCTATATACTACATTGCACACCATGTGGTGATGAAGCCTGACAGCAGTAGCACACCCATGCGAATCGTATTTAATAGTAGCGCATCTTATCAAGGACATATCCTTAACAATTACTGGGCTAAGGGCCCAGACATGGTAAACGCTCTTTTAGGAGTGCTAATTCGATTTAGGGAAAACTCAGTAGCACTTGTGGCAGACATCCGTAAAATGTACCACTTCATCAGCACCACAGTAGATCAACACTGTCACCGATTCCTATGGCGAAATATGAATGTCACACAAGAACCTAAGACCTTTTGCATGACTGTGGTTAACATGGGTGATCGGCCCTCTGCTACAATAGCTACAGTAGCTTTGAGGAAAACGGCCGAACGAGGGAAGGATAAATTATATAAAGCTGCCGACACAATCCTGCGCAATGTTTATGTTGATGATATACTGGAGTCTGTTGAGTCAAGAGAAGCTGCGTTGCGTCTTTCGCAGGATATCGACAAGTTAATCGCACCAGGAAACCTTGCAGTCAAGAAGTGGGTAATCTCAGGAAGTGGTGGCGAAATCACAGACAAGGAGTTGATTGCAAAGGGTATCGAGAAAGTCCTAGGAATCGCATGGGACTCATATGAAGATGTATTCAAATTCACTACAAAGTTGGAAGCGCCAGTGATTCTCACAAAAAGATCTTGTTTAAGCAGTATTAATGGCATCTATGACCCATTAGGTTTGATCTCGCCGTTCACGGTGAAAGGGAAAATACTCCTCCGGAAGATATGGGGTGAGAAGTTGGGATGGGACGACACCCTACCAGAGGCAATGAGAGAACAGTGGCTTCAGTTCTTCAATGAATTAACCGATATTGCCAGCATTTGCTTCCCCAGATGTATTAAACCAGAGGATGCAGAACCAAACACAAGGCCGACGCTCGTGGTTTTCTCAGATGGGTCTGAACAGGCATTTGGCGCTGTTGCATATGCCAGGTACCTACTCAAGGACAGTAGATATGCTTGTCGACTAATTGCTAGCAAGAACAGGGTATCCCCATGTAGTGAACTTCGAAATAAGAGTCGTTTAGTCTTCGTCTACCTTTGTAAGGTTTTAATCAACTAAAATGCAAGCAGTATAGAAAATAATA